AGCTAGGAGATTCTGGCCTATGGTTATTAGATTGCAGTCAAGCCGTTGACTAGGACTACAGTATCTGAAGGCTCCAGTGGGGTTAAAAGATCTACTTCCGAGTTTACTCACATGGTTGTTGACAGGCCTCCATTTCTTATGGTTGGATTGAGGCCTCAGTTCTTTGTCAGGTGGATCTCTCCACAGGGCTATCTGAGTTTCTCAAGACAAGGCAGCTGGCTTGCCCTATAGCAAGTGAGCAGAGAGAGAGAGAGAGAGACATGGAGGGAGGGAGGGAAGAAAAAAGGAGAAAGAGAGAGAGAAAGAAAGAGGGGGGAGGGGGAGAGAGAGAGAGACAGAGATAGAGAGAGAGATTATTTTAGGTATGTGTTTTAGTCTGCTCAGGCTGATGTAACAAAATCCCATTTCCAAAGGCCAGAAGTCCATGATCAAAGTGCCAACAGTTTCTGGTGAGAATTATCCTGGCTTGTAGACAGCAGCCTTCTCTCTGCCTCCTCACAAAGCCTTTCCTCTGTGTATGCTTGGAGAGAAAGAGATATCTTGTGTCTCTTCTCCTATAAGGATACTAATCCTATTGGATTTGGGTCCCACCCTTATAATCTCATTTAACCTTAATTACCTTCCTAAAGGCCCTATCTCCAAATATAGTCATATTAGGGGTTAGGGCTTCAACATCTGAATTGGGAGGAAGGCACAGTTGTGTTTATATCAATTTAATAATGATATTTAAATGACTTGCTGAAATACTAGTGAAATAATATGATGTCTAAAATTTGTTTAAAATTTGTTTCAAATTATTAGGAGAGGTGAGAAGTAGCTTGTGGTACAGAACAACATTAGTTATGAATGGATAAGTTTTGAAGCTGAAGATAGGCTAATGCGGCCTCCTTATACTGTACTGTTCTCTCTATTTTTGTGTATGTTAGATAATCTCCAGAACAAAAGTGTTTTGTTTTGTTTTTATGGCCAGCTAAATTGAGAGCAGATGTGGAATCAAACAGGCCCATGGAAGATGACACTAATGCTTGCTGAATAAATAAATGGACATTACATTCAGTGGTGATTTATGTGGATTGGAGAGAGGAACCTGTTGATTGGAGGAGAGAAGATATGAAATTTCAGGTACTTTTAAGCACAGTAGTCACACCTAACCTTTAGAAATGTAGGTAAGTCTGGGCTGCGTATTGGTTTAGGATTAGTATACCAGTAGTCTGGTTTGGCCTCTACCCAACTGGGTGACCTTTGATAAATAATCAGTCTAGTCTCACTCTCCCCAACTGCTGAAATAGATTGAGACCATTCATTCATTCATAACATATTTATTAAGCACATACTATGTGCCAAGACCTGAACTAAGTACCAGAGGTATAAAGATAATTGTGGTATCAACCCTGTCCTAAAAAGTTCATGATCAAGCTCAATGGTTATTCATCTTTCTATTCCCTGATTCATGGAGTTTAGTCTGACAGTCCTAGCAGAAGAATAAACAAGAGAGGCTTCAGTTGTGTCTGAATTCCAGTGTATAAGCTGTAATGCACCCCACTGGAGAATTGCTGCTCCAATTGGCTAGATCATAATACCTAACATTAATTGAATTTCTATGCTGTCAGGCACTTTACAAACATTATCTTATTCAATTCTTACTGGAAGTTAGGTACATGCCCTCTTTACAGATAAGGGAAACCATGAGACACAAGTGAGTGTGTGGCATCTGTGATACCTTGCCTTCTGGGTGATTTAGATGATTATTTTCAGTGCCATAATCTGAGTAAGGTTTTTAGGCACTCACTGGCTCTGTGACTTTGGACCAATTACTCAACCTTTTTTTCTTTCCTCTCTTTCTTATCTGAAAAATGAACTTGACATGAAGGTTGTACAACATAAAGCAGTGAGGTATCCAGCTCAGTTCCTATAAAGCACTCACATCTTTTATTTCACTGCTTTCATCCAAGTGAAGATGTTCCATAGGTAGCTGGAGACATCCTGGAAAGTCGAGACCTGACTCATAGATTAGGGAATTGCCCAGATAGAGGAGGGGTCACTGTATCAGGGGGAGGGTAGGGGACTAGGCCTTGGAAGAAGAGAGGTCAGAGAGAACACTCAAAACTCACAAATCTGGAAGAGGAACTCCTAGTCACCAGAATCCTGGCATGTAGAGGTGTTCAGAAGGCCTGGAAAGATGATCCAAGGTGGTTCCATTGTGGAGGAGGGAGGAGAGATAGAGGGGGATGGGGAGGGCCCTGCAGTAGAGGGTGGGCCCAACTAAAATGACAAGGATCAAGAGTACCACCACCCTGCTGACAGTAAGGCATACTTGACCCAGAGAGAAGACAAATAGGCTTGCCCAAATAAAAGGCCCAAATAAACAAGTCCAGTATGAGAGTCAAAGCCAATACTTAAGACCCCAAAGTATAAGACATCATTTACAAAATTCAGAAGGACTAATGGATATCTCTAGCATTAATAGTACTGACATTTGATTCATGCTTTATAGTTTTCAAAGTGCTTTCACAAGGTGGTACATTTGACCTCTGAGAGGTGAGTAGTCAATAGGGTCTGAGTTTGTAGTCAAAGGACCTGATAGTGTCCCTTGCTATGAGACCTGTCCCAAATCATGAAACCTCTTAGGATCCACTTTGTTCATTTGTAAAGAGACTAAACTATTGCACTCATCCTACAGTGTTGTGAGAACTAAGCCACAGTGCTTTATAAACAAACATTCGATGTGGCTCTGTGATTCACACATGTATCACTACCAGTAGAAGATACAGGATGGCCCTGGAACCCAGGTCTGAGAAGCCAGGGCTTTTACCTTTCAACTGTCAGATTACTCTTTCATCCCCCAATGGCCTTAACCTTGGTCAATTTCAAAGGATATAGCACGGAGTGATGGCCTACTTCCCTGCAGCCTCTGAGCACGTAAGGATGCCGAATGACTCTTGCTCTTTCTTGCTGGGAGGGGTAGTCAGGAGATTGTCATCTTTCAACTTTTTAACACCACTGCTCCCCATCCTCCAGGAGAGTCAGGATGGAGAAGTCTGAACATGGTGATTTTAGAATCAGATGGCTATTGACTAGCCCAATGAGCAGTGACATCTTGCTCTAAGCAACTCGGACATGAGGGGATTGGAACGTTGGGAAACTTTTAAGCCCGAATGAGTGAATGTTGGACCAATCCAAGAGTTTCTGATGGGAGAAGGTGCAGCTTCTGGTGAAAGGGGAGGGATTTGGATGTGATTGCATCCCCTTTCTGCCATTAGAGACTCTTCCTTCCAACATCTTTAACTTTTTGAGCTGCTTTCCCACAATTGAGCATATTCTACCTTAACTGCAGCTTTATGAGATGCATTCTGCATTAATGGTTTCAAAAATCAGAAATGGGGGAGGAAGTCCTATTTTAAAAAAAGATTGAGTGACTTGTCAGTTAGTTATTGGCCTAGGTGGGCCTAGAATTCAAGAGACGACTTTCATCCCTTTACCCACTTGGGTGGGAGTCCAGGAACATGATCCTTCATTTTATCACATTAGCACAACCAATGGGATCAGTTTACCAGGTTATAAAGTTATCACCTTGGAAAGTATAAAAATGGAATGAGATAGGTGAGGGATCAAATTTGGTGGGAAGTGGGGAGCATGAATTCTGAACAGGCTCTGGAAAGAGGACAGGGAAGGGTCCCATCCTCAGCAGACCTTAATATTCCCTGCAGTGCTTTACAGTTTCTAAAGGCCTTTCACACGCATTACTTTCCTGGCTCTTTACAGGGTTGAATTGTGGGTGTATTTATCTCACTTTATGTGGTGGGGCTGGGGAAGCCCTCAGGAGTTAAGAGGCCGGGGCCACCAGCTTATTAGAGTATCAGGGGCAGTGCTCACGCACTTGGGTTCTGGGTCCACATTTTGCTTTTCCTCCCACCCTTCCTCTTCGTTTGTGTCTCTTCGCTTCCCGATATTCACGCGTTCCCACCCGGGTCCGCACGGAGTGTGGAGTCTCCTGTGCGAAGATCTACAGCGCTTGTATGTGCGCAGAGGTCTGTGTGCTTGTACCTGGTGTACACTGGTGTGCCTGGAAGTCTTTCTGCGCGCTGCCCTGACGGGGGCCTTGCTGCCTGACGGCCTGTGAGAAACGAGCGGCTGAGTGGGAGCTGAGCTGGCCTGTGCACCCCGGCTCGGTCTCACTCTGCTCCTTTCAGCCTCTCAGCTTCTGTCTCTTTGTGTCTCTTCGCTTCCCGATATTCACGGGTTTCCAATTTCCTCTCAGTTTCTCCGATCGGGTCCCCAGGGCCATCGGCTCCGCGTCGGTTTCTAGCCTCATACTTACTTGTCCGCGAGAGGATGAAGATAGGAGATTACGTTCAATGGGGGATGGCTCTGGAGGAGGGGGACTGCGGGGCGGTAGGGACTCCCAGACCGAGCATAGAAGTGCTGGGGGAATGGGGAGATAACTCAGCCGGCATCAGCCTCTCCACCAAAACTCAACACTTCCAGACCCTCTGTGCCCCTCCCACGCAGGGACAGGGGGCGGAGTCTCGCCCGCTAGACTGGGCCACCCAGCTGCGCCGCCTGCCAGAACCGCACCACCCCGGCAACTGCTTGTCTTCACCAACACCGCGCCCCCCGCCCTCGCCCCCTCCGCCCTCTCCAGCCCCCAGCCGGACACAAGTCCGCTCCAAATCCGTGCCAGGTTTCCTTCGCGTCGCTGGGGTCTCCGCCCCTCGGAGTCGCACGCCTGGGTTGAGCCGAGCGTCGCCGCGGGAGCCACACGCACCGCCTGAACCCCGAACCGCTGGGCACCGGAGCCCGCGGGCCTCACTGAGCAGCCACGCAGATTCCACTTTCACGTTCAAACTCCGAGTCTGGACCGGTGCGGTCCCCGCGCGTCACCCGAATTTGACCCTCGGGGCTCCGAAGTAACCCCTTCTCGGCACTGTTTACTGTCTGCGCTGCCGCCCCGCTCCGCTTCTCAGCATCCCGGCCCCAGTTCGGACCCCGGCGAGGTAGGGGGACTGCGAGGAGTGGGGGCTGGGGACTGGCGTGCTCCTCCGCCGCGGAATGGGGACAGCAGAGCCCACCGTCCCCCGGGGGAAGAAAGCCGCCGCGCCCCCTACGGCCAAACCCCTTCCTAGTCCCGTGAGATAGATTACAGACCGTGACTTCGCCTCGGGTGTTCAGATACGCCCTTCCATCATCCCTCCTCCACCCCGTCGCCATTTCGCTCCCACTTGTCCCCAGGACCTGGTGCCTAGGGGAACCCCTGCCAAATTAGACAGCTTCCTTCGGAATCTCCCTCCCGCCTGCTTCCCCCACTCCCACTTCGGGAAGGGAGCTGAGGGAAGACCCTCCAGTACAGTCTTCGTCTTCCATGGCTGTGGTTCTCTGGGGCACTCTCCTTCCTCCCCACCCCGCCACCTTGGTCTGTCTTCCTCCTCCCTTTGCTCTGCCCCACTTCATCTTGTCTCCCCTACTACCTCTCTTTTCGAGATCTCTGTTGTCTTCCAGCCTCTTTTCTGGCTTTCTCCTTGCCTTGACCCCTTCCCTTACCAAATACTCGGGGAGAAGGGGGTGTGTCACGCTGCTTTCTATTTATGGTCTCCCTGGGGAGGGTGTGCAGTGGTGGGACTTCATTGGCATCAGCTGAGCCCGAAGTCACAAGATGTCATGTCTGTAATTCAGTATCCGTGCCTCCCCGCGCTCCCCTCTCCCATCGTCTCCCGCTGGGAATCTCCCTATCCGCCTTTGTCTCCTTTCTGCCTCCTTTCTTGTCTTCGCTCTCTTCTTTGGGCGCTTTGTGTAGCTGCCGTCTCTTTGTCCCCGCCTCTCTGCTCCCTCTCCTCCCTCTTCCAGCTCGGAAAAACTGGGACCTCAAGGGCGTCAGTGTTTCAGGTGTGCGGGGTGCAGTGGAGGTGGGGGTGGTGTGGGCTCCCAGTATGCCCAGCAATGACTCCAACCATTCCCCTCTCCCTAGAGTGATCATTCATATTGAAGAGATTGAAAGAACGAATACAAGGATGTAGGGATATAGATGGCAAGGGAAATGCTGCCCCTCTTCCTGGAGCTACATCTCTTCCAGGAGATGCCTGAACTACATTTCCCACAGTGCCCTGGAGGCACAAGGCTGCTTCTGCCTAGACACTTTATGGAAGTTATAGTTCAAAGAGCCAGGTTGGAGGTCGTCATACTGGAGAGTGGGGAGTGATCAGAGTGTGCAGCAAGAGTTGGAGGACTGGCCGGTAGCTTTGGCTTGGCCTGAAACCCCAGACCTACTTTGTTCCCAGCACTTACCTCCCCCAAGGTTTAAGGACTTTGGAACCTTCGTGTCCCCAAAAAGGGGAACAGGAGTAGAGGAGTGCCTGAGAAGAAAAAATGGGGGATGAAGTAGCAACCTCTTCCTTCTTCCCTGTGACCCTGGGAACTCCCCCTCCCCTTACGAACAACCTTATCTGAGATGTTGTAGAGACACCATTAGAAATAGTCTCCCCATGTTAAAAGCAAGGGGGTGGGGGGAAACAAGAGCCTAATGTCTTAGATTAGCTGTATGTGTTCCAGTCTACAATTTGCAAATATTCTGCCCCCTTTGGTAGGCAGTGGAGAATTGTTGGAGTTACCATCGAACTACGAGCTTGTATTTTCCACGGACCCATGAACAGCTGGTAAGGTTGCCTGGAGATACAGATAGGAGCCACAAGTTAACCTGCTCATCTCTAGGACCTGTCATCATCTCCTGGAGCAAGAAGTCTGATGCTTGAGCTTGTTATTGGCCTAGAAATTGCTGACAGTGGGGTGAGGGCAGTGGAGGTTCCTCCTGAAATCCCATCTCTGGTTCTGAGTCAGTTCAGCCCTTAGCTCTTGGAACCTCTGACTCCTGCCAAGGACTCAGTACTTTCTACCCTTGCTCTTCAGGCTGGGTTTAGAGATCCAGATACACCAAAAATAGGTCTACCCCACTGGCCTGGGAGCCAGGAAAACTTAACTTTTAGCCTTGCCCTGCCCAAGCTGAGTCTCCTTAGGCAAGATCTTATCTGTCTCAGGCCTTGATTTCTTCCCCCCGCCCCCTCAGCTTTATTGAAATATAATAGACAATTAGTTACTTGTATTTATATTATACAATTCAATGAATTTTTTTTTCAATTACAGTTGGCATACAATAATGTACTAGTTTCATTTGTATAGTGATCAGAGATCCACATAACTCACAAAGCGATCACCCCACTAAATCTAATACCCCTCTTCCCTCTTACATATTTGGTTCTCGATTTCTTTACTGTGAAAGGGTTGAACTTGGTGGTCTCCAATGGCCTTAATAGGGGCTCTAAGATCCTCTGAGCCTGTGCCTCTGATGATACTGGCCCCAGCTGTCTTATCTTACCCTGGCTTAACTGGGAGAGCCTTAGGCATGGGTATCAGATTAAAAAGAATGAGGAAGATGGTGCCCGTGCTTAGAAGCTTGTTTGTACAACAAACACTGTTTTTACGTAGGCTATGTTTATGGTATGGAAGGTAAAATCATCCCTAAACTACCCCCTTGGTGCCCCTCCCAAGGCTAAGTCATGTTCTTGTCAAAAAAGAAAAATCCAACCAAGCCAATATCACCCTCCACAAACTATTTAGTATGTGTGTTCCCGGGGATGTTGGTTAATGAGGCTTAATGTAGGTTATGTGAAGGGAGAATTATAATTGGCTGAAAGAGAGAGGAGTGGAATTTAATTGGTTGATTTGGTTGATCTGGAAGAGGGAGGTCTGGAAATAAGGAGTCATCAGGACTTGGGGAGGGGCTTTCTCTTTGGCCCTGTATCTCATTAGGGAAAAGAGAAAAACCAGAAGCCAAAGGGGTAACAGATGCACAGGGGATTGACTTAAAAAAAAAGAGACTTTGAGAAATGGAACGGGCAGGGAAAGTCCTGTGTGGGAGATAGGGCAAGGATTACAGGAACAAATTTTAAAAGAAGGAAGAGGAGAAGGAGGGAGAAGAGGAGAAGCTTCATCTTTGGAGGAGAGGAAAATGGGAAGGGGACATGGGTGGTTTTGGTGGACATTTTGTTTGCTGGAGCTCCAACAGAACCCCTTTCAAAGTGATCGCCCAGCCCTGTAATAAGCCCAAGTCTCCCTAAGAAGAAAGAAACAGACTTGAGGAAGGAAAGGGCTATTTTGATGAGCCTGGGAGGGTTGGCTTGAAATTATCTAATAGAGTCATCCATCTGTCCACTCCTTTGTCTTTTGTTTGAATATGTGTGTCAGAGGTGGAGGGCACTGGGGAAGCAATATGAAGGAGATCTGAGATCTACATCACCCTCCCTTTGCCCTGGGATGATAAGTGACAATGGCAGGAAAGAATAAGGGAGTTGAACCCTCTACTTTCCCTGGAAACCCTGCTGTAGGGGGAGTGGAGGTGATGAGAATTCCATTCTCATGTTCTTGCAGAGAGGTGGATGTCCCTCCATTATTTACCCCCCATACATAGACACCCCTTGTTTCCTTTGAGTCCTTCGGCTGACTGGGGATAGAGGGAGTCCCGAGTTTGTGTGTTGAGCAGCATGCCAGTAGGGTAGAGCAGGGTAGGATTGGGAGCTCTGAGAGCTGGTGGGAGATGGGGAGCTGGAGGCCTTCTATTCCCAGGATCTGAGTGGACAGCAGAAGAGAAGCAGTGTTTGTGTAAGAAGGGGTTGTGGGGACTTTTTGTGAATGGGGCCAGATGTGTAAACAGTAGGCTCTGACCTCAGTGCTGGGTTCTTTCTTTTCTGCAGGGTAATGAAGCTGGAAGCTGGCTGTGGTATAGCCACCTCAGAGGTCCCTAAGGCCGAAAAAGAGGCTCAGCCAGATTCTGAGCCATGGTGGCCACAGGAAGCCAGAGCCAAGTCCAAGTCTGGTTCAGGGCTTGAGACTGAGGACAAACTCCTGAGGGCCGAGTCAGGGCCTGAGGCCAAGGCCGAGTCCTTGGGGGCCGCACCCAGGTCTGGATCTAGGCCTGAGGACGAGGCATTGTTCTTCGTGGTGGCCACAGAACAGGAGTTTGAGGAGGTATTGGCTATCTTCCGGGACATCTACAGTGGCCTTGACTACCTTCCTAGCCGCTACCACAGCTGGCTCCGGGATCCCAACCGCACTGTGGTGCTGGCCAAGCGCAACGGAGGAGTGGTGAGAACCGAGGGGCGGGGCCCAGGTGAAAAGGAGGTAAAGGCGCATTTGGGTCTCTGGATCTTAGGAAGGAGAGGAAGCGAGCCTCTCTCTTCCAGCCCTAGTCAGATTGCTGAGGATATAGAGTTGGCTTTGGAACCAAAGAGTAGAGCATGCAGACCCAGAGGCCCAGGCAGTGAGGGTGGGTTGAGGGACTTGTAGAACTCAGAAGAGCAGAGGAACTGGAGGGACTGGTGAGAGCTTCGGTATTTCAGGATTTGTTTAAGGAGTTTCTGGGGGCAGGAGCACAAAAAGAGGGGAGCAGGTAAGTAGGGGTAGGCTGGAGGTGGCCAGGACCCCTGAGTGAACTGAATTCCCCCACAAAGAGGGCCTGGATATGGTGAGCAGGATCAGGTCAGAGATAGGCTCTGGGGAGGGGCTAAGAGAAAGGTGGCGTGGCGAGCGATCGAGGACTTGGTGCTCGCAGAGCTGCAGCATCTCAAGAGGTGGAAGTGACCCCGGCGAATGACCGTTCAGCCAGCTCTGGAATATGAGACCCAAGTGCCGAAGAGAGCTCCCTGGGCAGGCCCCAGGTCCTGCCTAGGGTGGTGACGAAGGAGCGCTTAGCATGTGGGAAGAGGCAAGCCCTGTGAGTCGAAATGGGCAGAGTCAAGGGGCCCCCTAACGGCCTCGGTCAGCTGATCGTGCTGGTGCACGTGATTGATGCCCGGGAGACGGCGCTGGTGGAGGGGCCGCGCGTGGCGCCCTGGGAGCGCGGCAAGGGCGTGGCCGGGCTGCTGCAGCGCTTCTGCTCGCAGCTGGTCAAGCGACAGTACCCAGGGGTCAAGGTGGTACGGCTCACCCGGGATGACCAGCTGGGCCCCTGTGAGCTTAAGAAATACCGCCTAGTCACCAAGCAGGTGAGAAGGACAAGGGGCCTCAGATGGCCGGGCCTCTCTCCTGGGGCCTCCGGGCGTACTCCCCCAGCCCCAGTCACTGGTTTTCTTTCTCTTACGGCTCTACCGAGTGGGGGCGCCCATGATCCCTGCCCAGGGACTTCTGTCCTTACCCAGCCCTTTGCCCAAGGGAAGTCAAGCAACTCCTGACTCCTAGGTGTCAAACCCTCAGTCCTTACTCCAGGAGGCTGGAGAGCCCAGGAGGTGAGACTTACGTGATGCTGCCTCCCCTACACCGATTCTGTCTCTCTTTAAGGACCCAAACATGTTAATCTGAGTCTTCGTCCTTTCTCCTCCTCCTCATCCAACCAACTCATCCGCTTCCCTCCCTTCTACTTCCCTTGGAGATGTAGGGTCCTGCATCCCCAATTCCTTGCTACTCCACACTAACCAGCTTTTCCTATTCCGAAGCTTTGCTCCCCAGTTCCTTCATGCTGCTCTCGGGGACTCAGGCTTTCACATATCACACTCCATCCGGTCCCGCACTATCTGTCCTGTGGGGCCCAAGTGAAAGCCCGTGGGTGTGAATGTGAGAGTGAAGATGCCTTGAGGCACCAGGCTCGCCAGCCTTCCCGCCACCATCCTCGTGCTCACTCGCGCCCCCCACAGGTCCTTTGGGTTCGATTCAACGCGTCGGCGCTGCTTGCCAGGCTGGGCGCGCGGCTGGCGGCGCTGCGGACTTCCGGCACCTTCTCGCCGCTGCCCACCAAGGTCCTGTCGGAGGCTGGCGGCGACGTGGCACGCCTCCTGCTGTCACCCTCCGTGCAGCGCGACGTGCTTCCGGGAGGGACCATCATCCAAGACTGGCAGCCCTACCAGCCGAGCGAGAGCAACCTGCGTCTGCTGGCGGCCAAAGACATAGAGTGGCTCTTGGACAGTCGCGCGCGCCCGCGCGTTCTCGCGCTGTGCACGCTCCCCTTCCCCATCCCGCATGGCGGCGACTGCACTTGACGCTACCTCAACATCGACGCCTTCGGCTGCGACAGCGCGCAGGTGCAAAGCCAGCTTCTGTGGCACCTGCAGTGCCAGGCCTCGCGTCTCACCGGCCTCAACGTCATGTGCCAGATCTTCCTGGCGCCCCAATTATGGTCACAGCTGGCTGATTTCTTCCAGGCCGGCTTGGGGCTCGAGCTGGTCAAGGGTTACACTGAACAGTACCTGCTGGAGTCCGACATCTGAGGCCTCTACTATCGAGGAGAAAGTCGCACTTTAGGCCCGCCCCCTTCCCCAGGTCCCCAGAAAGCCCCACCCCTATTTGCAAACTCCACCGGGTCCCCCGCCCTCTATCCTGCCACTTACCCTTACCCGAAGCCGATCCTTCCCTTTTCCCCTTACTACTCTACCATCTTGCTTCTAGCGCCCCCGAATGCCGTAAGGGAGCCCCTTTCGTTTGCTATTGTCCGCTCTTTCCTTTTTCCAGCCAAAGAACCGGTCGGTCGGTCACACACATGCACACACACACACGCACACACGGCCAAAGAACTGGTTCTTGCACAGGCTTCAGAGACTTTCCCTATCCGTTGCCCTTTCTTGCTTCTCCCTTCTGCCTCCTCGCGGGTTGAAACGGGCAGAAGTGTGTGCAATGCCCAGCACCTGGTCAGGAGCACAACTGCTCAATACGTATTACTTTTTTTCCTCCTGTTCTTTCTCAAGCCCTGGGAGCTTGCCCCATGCTCCCCTCCTCGCTGCGGTCTCAGCCTTCTGTGACTCTAGGTCAGTGTCCTCTCCCTCCTCTCTGTGCCCCAATCCACCGCCTCCCTAGACCTCCCAGACACATTGCCCATCTTTCTGCCTCGCTATTTCTCTTCCCCATGACCTCTTCATCACCTGCCCTGTGTCAAATACAGAGAGAGACCCTGTAAATGAAACAGATTTATAATGCCCCCTATTTTGGCCCTCCATTTACACTGGTGATGCAACCTTTCTGAGCCTGCCCCCTCTGACTGTGGTTTCCTCTAAATCTGCAGATGTTGCTGTTTCGCAGGCCCCTTCCCAATTCCCCCAAAAGGGTGGCATGAACCAGAGGGTTTGGGCTAGAGAGTTTGGTGTAGTGGAAGGTAGGTCCTTCAACCCATGTGGGGCTGTTTCCTGATTCTAACCAGGCTGCCTTCTAGTGAATCCCCACCTCCAGATATTTCTGGACACTCTTCTTCTGGTTCCCTTATGCCTTTTGGATTCTGACAGTCTATTTAAATGCAAGTAGTAACAGCTGCATTTGCACAGAGCTATCTCCTACACTGGATCTTCACTTCCACCACAGAGGGAGGAAACAGAGGCTCAGAAAAATCAAAATGACTTCCCAGTCATACGGTAGCTGGGTACCTCACAGGACTAAAACCCAGGTGTCCCGAGACCAAAGCATGCCTCAGAACCTCACGTAGTGTGACAGTTGTAGCTTGAACTTCTTGTTGGACAATGGGCAGTTGCTAAGGATTCTTTGACAGCAAGCACAGGGTTCTCTGGGGATAGAATCCAAGATGCGGGCAGAGGAAGGAGCCAGGAGGTGGAAGACAGGCAAAGGGGACTGCTGCTGCTTCACCACTGACCCCAGCTTTGCCGATGTGCTGCTCTGCCTCTGCTGCCTCCAGTACTTGGCCATTTTGCCACTCCTTGTCAATTCAATGATGGTTGTCTTACAATAAAACGGACCTTAAGCCTACTCTGTGTCGGTCTCAGTTCTCAGTGGGGAGGCATGAGATGCATTATCCTCCCCCCTTCCCCAGCAGCCTGTATTACAGAGGATCTCTAAGCCCTGTGGCAATGGGGCTAATGACTTCCTTGAAGGGAGCTGAGAAGGCTGCTGGCCCTTGCGCGCTCCCACCCCCACCCCTGCCAACCAGCAGAAAGAAGCGATTGCTCAGAACCGAGGCGGGCAGCAGCGCGGCGCCTGGACGAGGTCCCAGTCTCCCTTTCCCCTGGACCTGAGAGTAAGCTGCTGTCCAAATTCTATGGGCTCTTCCCACCAAGTTCCCCTTGGCATCCAGGACCAGCCTCCCTCAGCCCTGTGATCCACTCTCGTCTCTCTCGAGGCCAGCGCGCTCGCCTTCCGGGTTCCTGGGTGGGCGCTGCTCAGAAGGGGGCGGAGGTGGAGGTAGCCTGGGCGCCGCCCTGCGGGAGCCGAGCTCCAGAGCAGCAGAGACTGCAATCCCGAAAAAAAGCACGCGGGGGCGCCAGGACGTGTGCGGACGCCGGCGAGGCAGCGCAAGGTGGTTTCTGTCCATGTGAGTGCGTCCATGGGCGTCTTTGTGTGTCTGCGTTTCCGTACATGTGTGTACGAGTCAGGGGGTGTCTAGGTGGGATGTGTTCGGAACAACATGGCTGGTGTACCCCAGAATCAGGTACTCCAAGTGTCTTTTTGATGAGGACGATGCTTGATATGTTGCTATGTGTGTGTGGATGGGGAGGCAGGAGAACGTGTGTGTGTCGTCGTGTGTGCAAGGCGTAGCCTCTGAGTCCCTGATCCGCGTCTTGGATTTTTGAAGTCACATTTCTTCTGGGTTTTTACCCCCTTTCCAGTATCCTATGTAAAAGGAATGAGGACTCACAACGCAAATTTCCACTACCCTAGTCACATCTTCAGCATGGTTCTGGGTGACCCTGTTGGGCTAGATGTGACATTGTGTCTGTGAAAATGGGTGTGCCTCAGAATATCAGTGTCACTCTGAGTTATAGTGTGTTGTGTGTGTGACAGGTGGATGTTGGAGGAGACTAGTTCAGGATTATGGAAGTAAAAAATTTCCATTCTCTTGTTGGTTTGTGGATACCACCTTCATAGCGTGCTCACGCGCTATGTGTGTGTGTGTTCCTTTCTCGGTCTCTCCTGTAGCAGTCTCTCTTTGTATCTCTCCTCATCTCTGTCTCTCCCTCTCTCTGTGACTCATCTCTGCGGTTTTGCCCTCCCCAGCTATCCCCTCCCCCACCCAAGAGTGGGTGGGAGTATGAGGGGATGGGACCAAGGGACTGAAAATCAGGGTGAGCACCCTGTTCCTATTACTTACAATTGCCAGACACACCAGTGGCCCCCAGCCCTATCCCAGTCCCCTTCCCAGGTCTCCCTATCCTACTGAACTGGAGTGAGCTGGGAATAGAGCAATAAGGCTTTCCAATGGGGTCTTTTTTAGAGAGGCCCTCAGCACCTTCTTTCAATTCAAAGTGGAGACCCCTGCCCCTCTCATAAAATGATCTTTCCCTGCCTGTCCCCCATACCCAAGGCTGACGTCATGAAAAACTGCAGAGGTGAGTCACTGGTTGGGGGGAAGGGAGGAAAGGGGTGGATGGCGAGCTGCAGGGGGGCCCCAAGCCCCTGCTTTCTCTTTCTCTCCCAAACTTTCTCAGGGAAAAGACCCAATGCTCTGCCCCCTCCCCTGGTTTTCCAAATCTTCAGCTTGGATCACTACACTGCTGGACCCCATCTTCTCCTCCTACCCTACTGGAGAGTATGGGAGATTCAGAAACAAAGAGAGATAGATTTATATAAACAACTCAGAGCAAACATCGGGAGTGTTCTTGAGGTCCCCATCTCAGCTTTGCCTTTTCCAGCTCTGTCTCTCCATTTCTCTTTCTTTCCTGCCATCTTCTTCTCTCCCCATCCCCAGGAACCTGACCAACTTTTTTCAGAAGCCCCTAGAGGTAGCAGGATATGAAGGGCACAGCACATCTTCAAGAGGTAGAGTGTGTGTGAATAAACTGACCCAAGTAGGGAACTGGAAAGGAGGGAGGCAGAACAGACCCAGAGATTCAGAGACCATGCAGACTGTGTGTGTTTGTGTGTGTGTGTGTGTGTGTGTGTGTGTGTGTGTGTGTGTCCAGACTGTGGAGTCACCAAGCCTATTGCTGTTCCTGCCAGGGGCTTCCACTTTGCTGTTCCCTCCCCCACCCATGATGACTTAGTTTCTTGAGATGTCAATTTCTGAGACGCTCCCCTAGGCTGCTGGACCAGAATGGAGAAAGAAAAGAGTGGGGAGTAGGGGAAGAATGGAGAAAGGGAGAAACACTCTGAAAACAAGGGGCAAAGACCTGAACTTAGGGGCTGTAGATGAGTGGCTTGGATACTGAGGCTTCATGGCATAGAAATCTAGAGAAAAAGAATGCTTGTGGGGGAGGGGCAGGAAAGATCAAAGGCACATAGAAATCCACATAACTTCTAACATATACCAACAGGCATGGAAGGACCCAGAGAAACCACAAAGACACATGTGTACACCCACCCATGCACACATTATTGACACACCAAGCCAGGCACACTTTTCAGATACCAGCAGATGCCCAGACTGGATACATGCAGACTCTTAACTGCACTGTTATATGGGCACTCAGAAAGGATTAGAACGCATACACATTTATACACAGATACCTGGAAACAGGCAAAAACACAGACACGCAGATCGGAAAAGACTATATATTTAAGTTGGAACACTACCATGCCCATCCACTCTCTGATTAAATACACAATGGGTTCCCCAATTCCCTTTCTTTTTCTTTCCTCCCATGTTTTATTAATTTCTGTACACATACATATGTACATGCTCACATAGGTCCTGTGCACATACATAAGCCCGCAAGGACAGTTTCTCTACGTGCCTGTCTCCCCTCATCTCACACTCGGTCCCTTAGCCCCATCAGCCTCTCAGTCTCCCCTCTTACTCCTTCTCTCCTTCCTTCTCTCTTGGATGGCATCCCCTCCCCCTCTCCAGATGTCTGAGCCATCTCTCTCTGATTCATCCTCCTCAGGAAGGTAACGTGACCCCCTCCCCATTCCACTGCTCTCAGTAACTAGGCTGGAAAGATAAAAGGGAGATGAGAAGAGGAAGGAAGAGGAAGGAAGGGAGCCCACAGGGGCAGGGGGGAGGTCCTAGATTGTTGTCTGTGGGGTCTGCTCCCCGCCTCCTTCCCTTGGCATCTCCACAGTCACCTTGGCTGTTTGTATTTTTTCTCCTTCAGCCTGTTCCTTCTACCTGTTCCAGATTCTTTCCTTCCTTCCTCCCTCTCCTGTCGCCTTCTCTTCTCTCTTTCCTCTCTCTACTCCTCCCCACCTTTTTCCCCGCAGAGCTGATGGGCTTTCTTCTGGGAAAGTCGAGCCACTGATGGAACCGAGAAGCTACTGTTGGCTATAGAGGGAAAACACGTGAGTGAGTGAGTGAGTGAGTGAGTGTGTGTATTAGAGGAAAATGAGGGTCAGTGCTAGGAAGAGATGAGGAGGGGGTTGAGCACTGGCTCTGAGTCTCTGAGTCCCTGACAGTCAACCCTGATCCTGGTTTCCAGAGTCTTAGGGCACCGGTGCCCCGTGTGTGTCCATGGGCACCCCTGTGTCTGCAGTTCTTGTGTGTCTGGTGTGTGTCATTGTCACTCCCCCCTTTCTCTGCCCACGCCCCCGCACAGCTCTGTCTGCACCGCAGACCCCCTCTCCCTCCCTCCCCTTCATTCCTGCAGTGGCCGCTCCCCTTGGCTCCCTCCTGTCTCCCCTGCCCCCTCCCCATTTCCGTCCCCTCCCACCCCCGCCCACGGCTGGTCTCCCTTCACTGGACCCGGCTCGCTGATGGATTCTCTGCGCAATCTGTGCGTCATTGCCCCCCACTCCCCGGAACCTCTAGCTGTCCAAACCCCCAGCCCCAACCCCTCTGGCAGGAGATACGGACGAGGGGTCTGGTGGCAATAAGGGGCGATTTCTGACGTTGCACGCCCCTCGCCCCGCATCCCTTTTAAATCTTCCCTTTAAGCGATGGAAAGAGCTAGAGTTGAGTCACCCCCCCACCTGCGCAACCCCCTCCCCACCTGGTCTGCTCTTGCCCTCCAAACGTCCTTTAGGGGGAAAGCAACGGGAGGAAAAGAAGCAGAAGGAGGGTGGGGAGAGGTGGGCTGAAAAGGGGCACAGCAGAGGCGCCAACATACGCTACAGTCAGCTGGACAGAAGGACAGACACACCTTTTTCTTCAGACATGCACCGACCGTGAACAGATAAGACACAGAGGCACACACATCCCGTCTTTCCCCTTTCTCTTCCGACTTAGATCCTTTTCGGTGGGATTCCCAAAACCGCAAGATGCACCCATCTGCCCTGGCCCAGGGCCGGCACCCCGCACCGCGGATCCGCGGACAGCGCCTGCAGGAGCGCAGATCCATCCCTCTTTTCTCAGGTTCATGCCGTCCTTGGGCGTGTTCCCCATGGACCATGAGGTCGGGAGATGGGGAGCCTGCCCCTTCCTCTACGATTTTGGAATTCTTATCTCCCCCGCCCCAGTATGGATCTCCTACTGGTGCCCAGTCAGACCTGGGAGTGTCCCCATCCTAGTCCGTTCCGCGACATGGGCTCCCACCGCTGCAAGTTGCTCTGTAACCCATGCTCCTGCCTTCCAGCACCTCTGCATCCACCTTTCCATTCATTCTCCCATTCATTCATTCATTCATTTCTCCTCGTCCCTCCTTCATTCATTCATAGCCCCCAACATCCCCCGACTCGGCATTTCATTCATTCATTCATTCATTCATTTTCCCTGTGCTCTTATTAGCGCACGCCCCTCTAGCCAAGGGCCCCAGTGCGCAGGCGCAGGCCGGGAGAGGACCGCATCCTCCAATAGCTGGGGATCCTCCCGCCTCTAGGCGCCCGCCCGCTTCCCCATGAATGAACATTGACGTCAGTGGGGCGGGGAGAGCCCACGTGACCCCGCGCGCTCCCCTTTATAAACCGGCAGCGGCGCGGGCGCTGTCCAGCGTGCTGAAGCCGGAGCGAGCGAGCCTCCCGGAGCCGCGCGGACTCCGCGGAGCCCAGCCCACTGGACGCCAGACCTTGACCGCCGCTCGTATCCCAGCCACAGCTCGGAGCCGAGGCGGACGCGTCCCGACCTTCCCCTGTCCCCACCCCGCCTTGACCCTCCTCTCCACTTCAAACTGGTAAATACGCCTTCGTCTGTCTCTACAACCCCAGGCAGCCGTGGGCGTGAGGGAGGGTTTTCTCTCTTCCCAGATGGGGGTGTTGAAAACACAGCGGGGAGCCCCCCGTAAGGGTCCTTGGTAAATGAGGAAGTCGCCTCTTTTTTCTTGATGCTGGTCGCCCACGCACCATCCGGGGAGTCCTGTGGGGAGGGAGCAGAGATTTCCCCCTTATTCTTGCTGCTTAGTACGTGGGCGCTGGCAATGAGATGGCTCAGATAAGGGGGCGAAAGGCACCGCGGGTGCAGGGGTTGGCGCATCTTCTCATTTATACGACTCCAGAGATCGGCACATCTTCCTCCTTTGCTCCTAAACGTCCTTCTTCTGGGTAAGATTAGGGGAATCAGGGAAGCCCAGATTTCCTGGTTAAAGGTGGAGGAAGAAAATATTGAACGAGTGGAAAATTCTTACAGAAATTCTTTCTTTTGCTCCTTCTATTTTTCACAGTCTCCGACAGTCTCTCGATCATGAAATCGCTCAGATTGCCGGCTTCTGCCCTCTTCTGCTTCCTTCTACTGATTAAGGGGCTGGGAGCTGCGCCCCCGGGGCGCCCAGAGGCGCAGCCACCTCCCCTCAGGTCTGAGCATAAAGAGCCGGTAGCTGGGGACTTAGCGCCCCGGCAGAAGGATGGTAGCGCCCCAGATATCCGAGCCACTCGAAATTCAGAGCCGCAGGACGAAGGAGAGCTTTTCCAGGGCGTGGATCCCCGGGCGCTGGCCGCGGTGCTGCTGCAGACACTCGACCGCCCGGCCTCTCCACCCGCGCCGGGCGGCTCTCAGCAGGGGCCAGCGGAAGAAGCAGCAGAAGCTCTGTTGACCGAGACGGTGCGCAGCCAGACCCACAGCCTCCCAGCGCCAGAGAACCAAGCACCCGCGGCTCCGCCTCGTCATCAGACTCAGGAGAATGGTCCCGAGGCAAGCGACCCCTCTGAGGAGCTCGAGGCGCTAGCTTCCCTGCTCCAGGAACTGCGAGATTTCAGTCCGAGCAGCGCCAAGCGCCAGCAAGAGACGGCAGCAGCAGAGACGGAAACTCGCACTCACACGCTGACCCGAGTCAACCTGGAGAGCCCCGGGCCAGAGCGCGTATGGCGCGCTTCCTGGGGAGAGTTCCAGGCGCGTGTGCCGGAGCGCGCGCCCCTGCCACCCCCGGTTCCTCCGCAGTTCCAAGCTCATGTACCCGAGAGCGGCCCCCTTCCCGAAGCCAATCAGTTCGGGGGAAAGGTGCCTTCCCCCAAAACACACCTAGGTGAGGCATTAGCACCCCTGTCCAAGGCGTACCAAGGCCTGAGCGCCCCCTTCCCCAAGGCGCGCCGGCCAGAGAGCTCACTCCTGAGCGGCTCCGAGGCGGGGGAGCGCCTTCTACAGCAAGGGCTGGCACAGGTAGAGGCTGGGCGGCGGCAGGCGGAAGCCACTCGGCAGGCCGCGGCTCAAGAAGAGCGGCTGGCTGACCTCGCCTCCGACCTACTGCTCCAGTATTTGCTGCAGGGCGGGGCACGGCAGCGAGGCCTGGGGGGTAGGGGGCTGCAGCAGGAGGAGGAGGAGCGAGAGAACGAGAGGGAGGAAGAGGAGGCGGAGCAGGAGAGACGCGGCGGGGAGGAGAGGGTAGAGGAAGAGGACGAAGAGGCGGCGGAGGCGGAGGCGGAGGCGGAGGAGGCGGAGAGGGCGCGGCAGAACGCGCTACTTTTCGCTGAGGAGGAAGACGGGGAAGCTGGAGCCGAGGACAAGCGCTCCCAGGAGGAGATGCCTGGCCACCGTCGGAAGGAGGCTGAGGGGGTAGAGGAGGGCGGGGAGGAGGAGGACGACGATGAAGAGATGGATCCGCAGACGATCGATAGCCTCATTGAGCTGTCCACCAAACTCCACCTGCCAGCGGACGACGTGGTCAGCATCATCGAGGAGGTGGAGGAGAAGCGGAAGCGGAAGAAGAACGCCCCTCCAGAGCCTGTGCCACCCCCACGGGTTGCCCCCGCCCCTACTCACGTCCGCTCCCCACAGGCCCCACCCCCCGTCCCCGCCCCCGCTCGAGATGAGCTGCCCGACTGGAACGAGGTGCTCCCCCCCTGGGATAGGGAGGACGAGGTGTTTCCCCCTGGGCCCTACCACCCTTTTCCCAACTACATCCGGCCGCGGACCCTGCAGCCTCCTGCTGCCTCGCGCCGCCGCCACTACCATCACGCCCTGCCGCCTTCGCGCCACTATCCTGGCGGGGAGGCCCAGGCACAGCGCGCACAGGAGGTGGCGGAAGCGGAGGAGCGCCGGCTGCAGGAGCAGGAAGAGCTGGAGAATTACATCGAGCACGTGCTGCTCCGGCGCCCATGACCAGCCCCGCCCCGCCGCCGCCACCCCCCTCCGTGTTGCTTCTCTCCCCTCCGGGTGTTTGCATGCGTCGGGTCCCCGCCCTTGCCCCGCCTCAGCTCCGCCCCCGCTCGCCTGCCGCCGGGCGGTCGGGCTGTGCCGGGACCTGTCAGACCTCTTCTTGGGTTCAAAGCCCGAACTCCCCAGACTTACTCACGGGTGTCCCGAGGCCAGCCAGGCGGGCCGGTGGTTTGTGCGAGTTCCCTCCCGCTGTCCCCACCTAGTCTCTCTCGGGATATCCCCGTGTGAAACTGGAAAAAGTTCCAGTTGTGTCTGTCTCCCGCCCTTTGGGCCTCCCACAAGCCTCTACACTCTCTCCCTATCGCTGTGAATTTACCCCTTCTTTTCCTTCTCTGTTGTAAATACCCCTCACGGAGGAAATAGTTTTGCTAAGAAATAAAAGTGACTATTTTATTAGGACTTTGTTCTCGGTTATTCACCCGTCCCCTTGGGCCTGCGTGGTCCTATCCAAGGGGCGGTGAGGAAAACGCCAGCCACAGTACCCATCTCTTGCTTAAATGTGAGGGTTGAGTGGCGAAACCACCTTAAACTGTATTTGCGGGGTAGAATAGGCTCACATCCATTAGGAAACCCTAAATTCCACTTAGCTTAGGGGTGGTGTTTAAAATCAGGGTTTCCCAGGGCCTGGCAGAGAGATGCAAAGTAGATAAGCCAAAGCTCTGGGCCACCAAGGAGGCTCTTCTTTCTGTGATTCTGGCCACACAAAGTGCTGGTGGCTCCCCACAGCCTTTATCTGTTCCCTAAATTCCGTGGTCCTACATACTTCACAAGAAATATGGGGAGGGAGGTTGGCAGCCACAGAAACATCCTGGTTTTAGCCACTTCTCAAACTGAACTGAACCATCTTCCACAAAGAAACCTTAGGGAAGTAAAACCGGATCTCCAGAAATTTCTCCTTCCTGGATGAAGGCAGCTCAGGGCATTTGTTTGGGGTAGGGGTGTCAGATAAAATACAGGACACCCAGTTAAATCTGCATTTCAGATAAACATTGGATACATTTACATAGGGTACATTTATCCTTTAAAAAAAGATACATTATCATATAAATTGAATTGGGTATCCACTTATTTTTTGGCCCTAAATCTGGCAACCCCAGTTCTGGGGAAGAGTCAAATGCACGGTGTTCTCTTCCCCTCCTGGATGATCCCAGCAGCCTGCATTCCTTCATAGAGCCTTAGGCAGGCAAAGTCCAGAAACGTTTTTCCTTTTATTTCAGAGGAAATGAAATAAAGTCAGACACTTCCCCACCCCACCTCCTTAGCTCCTGCCTCACCCAGAACATAGAATGAAGGAGGGACAGGGCCCAATCTCCCACGAAGCCTGCCCTTCCTTCAATCCTCCCTCCCGTCAAAGTAGGCAAGGTTAGAAAAAACTTAACTATGTTATTTCTCGCTGGGCACTGTGTAGAGGCCCTACTGTAGCCAAGAAGGAAGGGAGGGGGGCAGATGAGGGGAAAGGGCAGCCTTCTTACTACACAGATGCCCCCCTCCCAGGCAGAGAAGCTGCCCTGGCTGGCTGTAGGGAGGGGTGGAGGTAGGTTATGGGGTAGGGAGAAGAGAAGAGCCCTGAAAACCTTTTCCCTTTAACCTGATGTATTTATATATTTACAGTTATAAGAGAGGGAAGGAAGTTTGGGGTGACATTAGTTCTTCAAAGGCAGAGAATGAAAGCCAAATAGCACCCCCATCTTGGTCACATTTTCCTGCCTCCTTGCTCCAAAAACCTTCAGTGGGAAAAGGGGGAAACAGGAGGTAGGGGGTGGAGGAAGGGAATGTTTGAGGGTCCTGAGCCCACAGCTCACTCCATAAGAAGGTGAGGCAGCAGAGGAGGGGCAGCTGAGTCCTACCCAGGAAAGGGCCACTCGTGCCCTGCCTCTCCACCAGCTCCCAACATCTCCATGCGGCCCAGGCGAGGGCTATGCCAGACCCATCTCCTCCAGCACACTGCGAGGCGACTCATCCTCCTAAGGCAAAGAGGGTGACGCAGAGACACCAGAAGAGGCAGACAGGGAATGAGGGAAGTGGGTGGGCAAGACAACAGCATCACGAGGACAGAGGCAGAGAAGGGGGAAGCACACAAGAGAAACGGGGTGGGGGGGGGAGAAGAGAAGCCAATGTGAGCCCAAGGCCAGAACAGCTGAGGACCCTTCATGGGAGCTCCCCAGCTTCCTGGGACCACCCCCCAGAGCCAACTATGGCAAGGAGGGGGTCCAGGTTGAGTCTACCACCACCCAGAGAATCCAAAGCCAGGAGGTTGGTGAGTAAGGGGGCTCAGCCTTAGTTCTGAGGGGGATGGGAAACCTGTTTTCCAGGGTTGGGGGGTAGCAGATGATTGAGTCCTTTTTTTCAGGGGTAGGTGGGGGTAGTAAGAGGTTGACATCAAGCCCCTGAGGAAAGGTGAACCATACTGCAGAGAGATGAGTCATTAGGGTCTGAGCAGAGCATTAGTAACGGGTGTGTGTGCCAGGGCGTGCATGCGTGCGCTCACATGTGTCTGTGTGAGTGTGTGTCTGTGTGTGTGTCTGTGTGTGAAAGGGAACCTGGACCAGTGAGGTGACAAGTTCCATTCTGCTCTTTCTTCTACTGCAGAGATGAGCCCTCTATCTCTCCCCCTCCTCAGAGCCAGCTTAGGCCAGCTTGCTCATCTGCAGATTCCGGTGACTCATCTTCCTGCACCAAGTCTCAGCAGTGGCACAACAGAGAGGGGGCAGGCAGTAATGGAGTGAGGGCAGGGGTGCCAAATAGCAGAGTGAACCAACAGCTAGGTGCTCTCTACCTCAACCCCCAAATCCATACAGCCTTTTGCTTCTGAGAAGCAGAGGCTCATTTTGAATGTGTGTATGTAAAAACAAAAAAAGGTAGAGAGAAGACACCAGGGAAAAAAAGAATTATCTACCACGTGCCCCTTTTCAAATTCTCTAAGTAACCTTTAAATGCCAAGAGAAGTGGGACAAAGGAGACTTGGCTAGGTCAAAACACCCTGGGTCTTGGGAGAAAGGAGGGGAGAATTGGCACAGGCAGGCTGTCTGTTACCTCCACCTCCCACCCCAAGCAGTCAAGGCTTGAAGGCAAGCTGGCCAACTGGGCGCTGTGGTGGCCAGACGCCACAGGGAAGGGGGCCCCCTCGGCGGAAGCGGGAAGGTGGCAGCTGTGGCCAGCAGGAAGGGTGTCCAGGGGAGGAATGGCACCCTCCACCATGGTACTCTTCCTCCTCCTCACTGTCCCGGGCTCGTACCTCCTGCAGCAGGTCGGCCTGCTCAATAGCCTTCAGCACACTCTTCTTGGAAGTGTCCTGGACATCACCCCCCATCAAAAACTCATCCAAGATGAAGTAGGCCTTCTCAAAGTTAAAGATGATGTCCAGCTCACACACCTGGGAGGGTGAGAAGACAAAGTTAAACACCGAGGTGCATTCTCACTCCGCCTGCTCCACCTTTTTTCTTAACATGGCTCCATGCCTTCCTCATGACCACTCCTCCCACCTTGAGTTCTTGTCCCAGGTCTATGTCCTTTCAACCCTTAGGCCTTAGTACTTGGTTCGGCTTTTCCTTCTCCTCTTGCCTCTTTCTATGTGATCATAAAATATTAGTGCCCTTGACTATGGCTCCTGTTGCCTTCCCCCCAAAATCTGTGACACTGTTCCCACCAGCGGCTGGGCTAGCCTCCTTCCTTAGGTACCGTGAGGCAGAGAAGGAGGAGATTCTGGATCAGCAGCAGGGCTCTGCTACTAACCAGCTAGCTGTATATGTCATTTAATTTCTCTGAGCTTCAGTTTTCTCATCTGAAAAGAGGACATTAACATCTACTTGGAGGACGTAATGAGAAGTAAACAAAAGAACTTAAAAACGCGTTGTAAATTGTTAAGTGGAATACAAATTATGGAGTTATTACTATTCTCCATCTAAAATCTACGCTGACTGCCAATGCCCAGGCTATATCCCAGATCAGTTCATTCAGAATTTCTGGGGGTAGGACCCAGGCATTACTATTTTTAAAAACTCTCCAGAAGTTTCCAGCAGGAAGTCAAGGTCAAGAACCACTGATAAAATCTGAACATGGCCTCTGTCCTTTTGTGAGAAGTCTGAGCTGAGCCCTAGATGGATTGATTAAGTGGCAGATTCTGGTTCCCACCTCCTCCCCTGGACTGATTAAGGGGCATGGCTAATAGGTTTAAAGCTTAAAGAAGGGAATTAAATACTGTTCTCACTGCTCCAATTTCAACTCTCTCTCCAGAGTCCCAGGACAGAGTGGAAGGGCCCCAGAGTTTGGAAGAAAGAGAGGACTGCTGAGTATGAAAACCAGGGAGGGTGGGGAGACTTACACTGCCGAAGTATTTGTCCAGGAGCTCTACATATCGGTGGATCAGCTCTAGCGTGATGAGCTCATTGTCTTGGCCCTCGATGGCGCAGCAGAAGTAGAGGCTGGCATATCTGAGGACAGGGGTGCATGAGAGATAGCTGGGACAGCTACTGGGCCTGCTTCAGGACCCAGGCATTCTGGGCTCAAACCTTCTATTTTTCCTCATTCCCAGCCTAGGGTCTGTGTGGCTACTGGACACAGGTGGGGTGGCCCCAGGGCATGCAAATAGTAACAGGCTTGGCCTCTTTGCCTCTCTCAAAAACAGGGAAAGACCAAGCTCTTTCCTCATACCCTCTGATCTATTCAGTTTGACTCAGCAAAAACTTGAGCCAACAAACTCACCTGCTCAGAGAAGGAACTGGAAAGGGTGTGTGTGTGTGTGTGTGTGTGTGTGTGTGTGTGTGTGTGTGTGTGTGTTGGGAAAAGTGGTGCAGGATTTATGACTGTTGAATGAGACAGCAAGAGACATGTTAATGGGCAAAATAGGAGCTTTGAGACAGAGATATGCACATGAAGTAAGCTGTCAAACTTGAGCAAAACCAAGTGGGGAACAAGAATTTCTTCAAGGTGAGTTTGGAAAGGAAAGGAAGCCGGGGTTCATCACTGCCCTCCAAATGTCCTTAGCTCCCAGTTCTCCCTGATCTAGGGACCGCTTATTACTCAGTCATTTAAACCCACTGCCAGACCCCAATCAAGCAGGATCCAGGCAGGTCTGAAAGTAGGTGGTAAGTCACCTCTTATAGACTACTTTGAGGTCCCTCCACTCCAGGAAGCTGCACATCTTGGGCTTGCGAGCCAAAACAACCTGCATAAGTTCCCGAACCATCTTCTTTCTCTCCTTGTCTGAGGTGGCCAGGTACCATTTTTGCAGCCTCAGCTTTCCCTGTCGGCTGAACAGCAGCATGAATCGCATCTGGAATGGAGGGGAAAGGGAGAAGCAGAGCTGAGGTTCAGATATTTTGTTCTCTGAGTTTCTTTTCTCCATAAACACACAGCCCCAAGCACATCCCATCTCTTTTCCACTCACAGCTTCTATTTTC